TACAAATATATATATATTTCCTTTTCAGGTGAAATGTGATCATTACTGGCCTTTTACAGAAGACCCCATTGCATATGGGGACATCACAGTAGAGATGCTGTCGGAGGACGAGCACACAGACTGGGTTTATAGGAATTTCAGAATTAGCTATGTAAGTGATGACAGCTCCCACCTCTCCCCATGGTTTGAGTTCCTTTAAGTCTTAGAGACAAAATGTGCTGTGTTGAGAATCTTATTTCACCTGAGGCTTTTCTCATTGTAATTCTTTTTTTAATGATAATGAGTATTTTTCTAAATCTTTCCTTTACCCCTGTAATGTTGTTTTCTTCCTTTTTGTTTTGTTTTTTTTCTTCGAAACTTGAAAAGAAAACTTCTCAAGTCCAGTCTTCATTTTTTGCCAGCTGAGTTGTTTTTCATCTGTGGCAAAATGAGAAAAGAAAGACAATGGAATAGAAACAGGAAAAAAACTTAAACTTGAAAAATGCAACAGTTCTTAAGTCAAAATAAAATTGAACCACCATGAGGAAAAAAAGCACAAGACAAATCCCAAACCCAAAAAGAAGTTCATGCTGTTTTGATAATGATGTCCTGATATCCCCTGCCCTTGTTAATCAAATAGTGTGTAAATTGTTTGCCACTTTTTCGGCTGCCTTTGCATTTTTAGGCTGTATTTGGGGAAAAAAAAAACAGTACAAAGTGACAGAAAAACCTCAGTCTGACTGAGCATGACTGCCCTGTTAAAACTCCTATGAACATGCTACTGTTCTGCTTCTCCCATTAGGCTGATGAGGTGCAAGATGTGATGCATTTTAACTACACTGCCTGGCCAGATCATGGTGTCCCCACAACCAATGCTGCCGAAAGCATCCTCCAGTTTGTACAGATGGTCAGGCAGAAATCAGCAAAGAGTAAAGGCCCCATGATTATTCACTGCAGGTAAATACTTCAAGGAAATGGAGAACTAAAGGCTGTAACTCATTAAATAGATTGGAAAACCATTGGAAGCCCCAAATCTGCTCTTCCAATGACCAGAGGAGGAGATGTGCACAGAGACACACATCTGCAGGGAAGCAGCACACTGTGGCACACTGCCGGACAGACCACACCATCCATATTATGAAGTTGTGGAAATGAGAGAGCAGGGGCAGGCTCTGGGCTGGTGTAAATCGGGGTTGCCCGCTGTGCTCCTGAAGGCATTTGTTGATCACATCCAAAGAGATGACTCTGCTCTAGAAAGAAATGCCTTAGTGTCTATGGCTGCAGGCTGAAATCCCAGCCCCACTGAAGTCAAAGCAGGGGACTAATCCTTTGCTCTTAACTCAAGAGAGCCAACTCCAGTGAACAGTGCGTCTCTGTGCTGATCATCCTCCTCTAGGCATTTGGGTTTTGGTACAGGAGGTGGCATGAAGAGCACTATCCTGTGGTAGCAGTAATACCGGTATCCTAACAGTTATTTGGGTTTTTTTGTTAGTTATGATATCATACCACATTGGTTCCTGATGCAGTTCCCTTAACTAGCTTCAAACTGCTTTGTGGCTTCTCATGTGAATAGGTACTTGCAACAGGTTTCTCAGATACACACAAATAGGTGGTTTGCAAAGGATGAATACATGGGTGGAAGGGGGCGGGGGGGGAAGAATGTATTTATCAACTTCTACAGCAATTGTTCTCAACATTAAAAAGTCACAGAATTAATTTATCAATTAATGAGTCAGAAGTTCTGTTGTATTCATCTTGAAATACGGACGGTTTTCTTAAACACGGGCAAAAAAGCCCAACTTGTTTTGTGACAGTACGTTGAGCTGTGTTGAGATGAACTGTTACACTTTATTGCAAATATTTTCAAGGCTTTTCTGAAAAATATGACAAGACAGCAGAAAGAAATTTTGCTTAAGAGACACACTTCTACCCTCAGTAGTAGGTATGGTGTTGGGATGCTATATGAAATTCCATAAAACCTCTAAAGCCACACTCCTAATTAAATCAGATTTAAACATTACTTGTGAAATCACAACGCAAAGAATCATATGCACATAAGAATCTCTAAATCAAAGCAGTATGTCTTTTTTCTAGTCACTAAGCTTCTCTTTGAGGAGGATAAAGATTTTTCAGCCAAGTGGTTGCTGGCTATTTCTGTCTCTTGCTTCCAAGACAGAAGTCTAGAAGTAGACTCTTCCGGGTGGTCTGTCTTTTGAGGATGAACTTCAGTAGTGCAGTGCTTTTGCAAATCCAAGAGCTTTGCAATGTGGAAAGCTGTGGAACTGAATGGTTCAGGTTCAACTCCAGCTGCCTCTGTGCAGCAACCAGAGTCTCTACAGTTACGACTACAGCCCCTGTAGTTAGAGATGCCTCATGAAATCTTTGAGGGGAGCAGTGAAAGTAGGAAAAGCAGACAGCTATGTGTGGATGAGGATATGTATGCACCTTTTGTATGTGAGTGCATGGAGAGAAGTACAAGAAGGTGAAATAATTGGAGAACCATCCGCTCCATACATTCCGCCCAAATAATGGATGAAGAGTTGCATGGCATTAAATCCTATCTATTAACCAACCTGTCTGACCTCAGATTACCTACATCTGATTATCGCACCTGCAGGACACCTGCTTTTTGCAGTACCATTGATTTTCCTGTATGTCCCCATCGAAAAGCCTGAAATGAGATGCATGTCTCTGTGTGTTGCAGTGCTGGCGTGGGCCGAACAGGAACCTTCATAGCCCTGGATCGGCTCTTACAGCACATTCGTGATCATGAGTTCGTAGATATATTGGGCCTGGTGTCTGACATGCGGTCGTACAGAATGTCCATGGTGCAGACAGAGGTAAGATCAGTTTACTTCAACATTGTTAAAGTATCATTGGATCTATTTCATACATCTCTGTAGTGTGTTCATTTCCAGTGACTGTTGTTCCCCCTGAACACTTGACAAAATAGCTATGAGTAGATACAATTAAGTATTCATCTTCATTGCAATATTGTCATGTTATTAATCTCCTACATAGATGAGTCTGATAATATACATACAATCTCACTGATGTCTTTCTGGGGGGATGAGTTATTCTCACCTTCTGTGAAATTAATATGCAAAAAATGCATTAGAATAGATTAACATATGAAATTTTCAAACCATTTTGAAAAGAATTGAGCTTGCTGAGAGGATTAATAGCTCATGAAATGATATCAGTATTGGACAGCCATTCCGGCTTGTTCAAGAGGGTATCATCTGGCCAAGCGCAGGAACTCAAGTTACACAGTGGTAATACAAATAACAAGCAAAGCAGAGAAAAGGATTGCGAGTCTGCCAGACACCCTCCTTGCCCCTTTCACTGCCTAAATACCTACTGGGTAGGTCTTTTTCCATTTTTCTAAGTCATACTGTCAGAGTATATCATGGAAAAAAAATCACAAAATCTTTTCCTAAAGTGGAAGCAGCTTTATGCATCTGAAACCTTCCCAGTTCCTCTGCTAATGAGGGAAAGATTTCATGCCTGTTGTGCTCTTCATTGGGTAGACACAGGGTAAGCTGGCAACCTCCATATAATTGGAAGTGCCACCATCACTGTTTGCAGGCTCGGTCTGGCAGATAATTTAATGCCAAAGGTTATTGAATCCAGAGCAGAGCAAAGCAAAGAAGATCTAACTAACCCAAAGGCAGATCTGAAACCCTGATGTTGATTTCAGCTGTAACTGCTGTAGCACTCCAGAGGTGATGTAATTCTTTCTACTTTTTATTTCCTTTTTTCCCATGTACAAACTCGCTGCCTCCCTGGGGCTGGTGTCAAGGGCTGGGCTTTGGCTGATGCTGAGCTCCTGCTTCTCCAGGCAATACCTAAGTGTGGCTGCAGAGGTCACCAGGTGACACTGACACTCAGGTGCAGAGGCCACGGAGAAGGCTTTCCTTACAAAACCTGAAACCACACACAGCTCACCTGAGTTCACGTTGCCCCGCACACTAGAAACTTGGCAGTGTTTCACTGAGCAGTTTAAGAAAACAAATGGCACAGGCCCAGAAATGGGGTTAGATTAGAGAATACCCTGAGTTGAAACCAGTCCCTTCAAATTAGAGGAAATCAAGGCATTTCTGTCATCATTAATATCTCCTGGCATCAGCAGACCACTGGGAACAGGGGCCAAAATTCAGACTCAGATTTTGGGACAGCTTTTATTGCTTGAGCTCCACTCACTCCCTGTGCCTAGTGCACATAAACTTTATATAAGGATTCATCAGGGTTTACCTTCTCTCTCTTTGAAATCTAAAAGTTATCAATTAAGGTTATTCCAAATTGAATTACATGATTTAGTCTACATGATGACAATGCTTAGAAAAGTCAGGCCATAACCAAAACCAAGGATAGCCACAGTCTTGTTGCACAAAAACCTGTCCACAAATATAACAGTGCATGTAATTGACCCGACCTACTTACAGTGTCACTTACACAGAGGTTGATAACTCCCCAAATAATTAACCAACAACTGCTCTGTGAATAAAATAAGGTTTCAGCTTTTTATTTGTAAAGAAGTCAAGCACTAAGGAACATGAAGTTCGTTAAAATATTTCAGGTGCAGATGTGCCATGGATGCAATTTGTTGCACATAAAGCATTCAGGTACCTTTCTGGGAAGGAATTAATTTCAAGCAATATAAAGTAGACCCACTTTCGCTCAGATTCAATGGAATTATTATATTTTATTCTGTTCTACTCTATTCTCATCTCCCATCATCATTCAGGTTATTAGTAAGGGATTATGATGCCAGGGCAGCTCAGGTGGATTTTGTGCTTCCTCAGCTGCTGTCTGTAACAATTGCTGGCTATTATTTTGGGAGCTGACAACACACTGTACATTGAGAGGGTCTTAGGAGGGAGAGACAGAGAAGCTCTGTAGGCTGTTACTGAGAACTATCAAACTGTTTCACTGTTTGGGTTTTTGTCATGCTTTCTGAGGTGCAAAAATGCCCACTTATTTGGTTGTCTCTTCCAGGAACAATACATTTTTATTCACCAGTGTGTGCAACTGATGTGGCAAAAGAAGAAGCAGCAGTTCTGTATCAGTGATGTTATATATGAGAACGTCAGCAAGTCCTAGTTCAGAGTCACAGGTGGTAAGTAAGTCAAACAAGCCTGGCCGTGCGCCATGCCCACAGCCTCACATCCCAATTGCTCGGATGCAGCCAGCAGGCAAACATGGATATTTGCTCCAGGAGCTTTGCAGGTGGTTTGGAGCTTTCTGGGCCTCATCCCCCATGTTCACATGGACAGTGAGAAGAAAATCCCTCTAGACTCTAGCAGTACATAATCTGCTATACTTTCCATGGCACTGGAGGAGTATATTGGCTCACTCATCAAAGAAAAAGAGAATCTGGAAATCCTGAGTTGAGCCATCTAACCATTCCTTTCTACTTGTCCTAACATTCCTTACAAAGCGTAAAGGAGCGGAGGACTTTAATATCTTCAGTCAGTCTCAAGTCATTTACCAACCACCAGGTTTACAAGGCCAGCAGAGTTTTAGGGATGCTCTGGAGCACTGCTGTTTTGCTAACAGAGCTTGCTGGAAGGCGAGATGATAATTAAAATCCTCTGACATGAAACCCTGCAGATTATTTTTCATAAAATAGAACCAGGGAACAGGAAGGGTCTCAAACTGCTACTACCTTTAGCATAAGTGAAGTGACCATAGACTAATAGAACAGTTTGGGTTGGAAGGGACCTTCAAAGGTCATCTAGTCCAACCCTGCAATGAGCAGGGACATGTTCAACTAGGTCAGGTTTCCCAGAACCACATCCAGCCTGGCCTTGAATGTCTCCAGGGATGGAGCATCCACCACCTCTTTGGGCAACCTGTGCCAGTATTTCACCACTCTCATAGTAAAACGTTTCTTCCTCATGTCCAGCCTGAATCTCCCCTCTTTTAGTTTAAAACCATCATCTTGCCTTTCCACTGGGCCCCAGTGCCTGACCTGTTGCATGCGGTCCCCAGGTGCAGAGCAAAACAGATGGGTCTGACCTACTAAGAGGTTGGTGGTGGGGGTAAGCTGTGAGGATGTACATTGCCGCTGTTTAAGTCAATGAGTTTTAGCTCATTAGGTGGCAGTCGTAACACAGCCATAACCTTAGTACTTGCTTTTTGGGTGAAGCAGGAAGCTACAGACTTTAAACACAAAGTAGCTTCTCAGACAGGTGGTGGAGAGCTGGGCTGTGTGCACCAACACCAGCAGTCTCCACCGTGTGTCTGTGGCGTTGCGCATGCTCATAAAATGAACCCTGATTTGCCTTATTTTTCCTAATGTTCAGGTAGTTTACTGTCTCATCTGAGTCCCTGGTAAAAATATATACCAAGAACTGTATTGATTTCCTTTCTTATCTCTGAAGCATTCTGTTTGTTCGGTTCCAGGTGAGATCATGAAGCACACCCATCTTCCCTTGCTTCCGATTATTTTTCTGATGATGGTTTGAACAGCCAGTTATTCTGCCACAAGAGACCGCTGCTTTGCAGTACATGGACAAAGAAACTTTTACCTTTCTGAAGCACTGGGGAGACAAAGCCTTAACGAGCCTGCGGTGTCTTTCGAACTGTTTCATTTCTGGACATTTTTTTAAAATACTGGACCAAATTCAACTAAACAACATGAAGGAAAAGACACTTTATGTGCGTAATATAGATCGCTCCAGATGTTGGGTTTTTGTTTGGTACTTAGGTTTTTTTTCTGTGCAGGTTGGGCTTAAGGTTAAAGTAAGTGCAATATTTTTTTAATGGTTGACTGAAGAGCTTTCTTCATGTGTCACTGGTCTGTGCTAACGTCCATAGGAGAGCAGGCATTGTTAGTATCTAATAATACCTCATTAGTGAATAGCGAGGCATGAACATACATGAAGAAATCTGGAGATTGTGAAAAGAAAAGGGGTTGGGAGGGTGGGGGACGTTGCTGGGTACATAGATTTGACTGTTTCTTACAGCACTGATGTACATGGGGCTTGGGGGGAGCACGAGACCCAAGGAATGGACTGATGAGCAGAAATCCAAACCACGAAGCCTGAAGCTGATGCAGGCAGCTGACACTGAGCCGGGATGGTTTCGGTTCTTGACTGTGCTAGTACTAAGCAGAGGGACCACTCTTTTTGCCAACCTTTTCAGTAATGTCACTGATCAGGCTCTTGTTTTACTGAATATAATTTAAGGGCATCTGAGTTTCAAGCTGGGATACCTTAAACTCCATTACTCTATAGGATTTAACTCTTCAAGCAGTCTATGGTGCCTATACCCCTCATTTGTTTATTATTTTTAGTAAGTACTAACCCTGTGTAAAAAACATGAAGCTGATTGAGGTGAGGGGTGGGAAGAAAAATAAAAAGTGCTTTAACAGATGTAACTTTTTCTCCAAGGAATTCACTATGTTACAAAAACAAGGGTTTGGCATGTGAAGGGCTGGTTATTGCTTTATTGCTACAAGGCTGCCAAAGCATCAGTATGGATTCCTGCAGGGCCTTCGGGGTCAGGGTGGGGGGCTCTTTTCTTTTTTGCTGTCAGTTTCAGTTCTAGTCAGAATAATTAACTATATATATATTTTTTTTTGTCTTTGTATAATTCTGGTACATCATTGTGTATTGTGACATGGATGCTGTCAGAATGGATGTTGATGGCATTTTTGTAACCTGTTGCTTTGTGTCACCTCATTGGAAGTTAGCAGCAATGGTACTCAATGTAAACAAAACAAACTTGAACTGAAAGTAAACACACTGGATTGCTTACCTGTGAAGAAGTCACTATCAGCAAAACAGCAAACACACCCGCATATGCTTTATGTTCACTCATTCTGGGGTCTGCTATTGCCTGTCAGGGTTTTGGGGTGTAGTTCGGTAGCTCAGCTACTTCCAGGATCCTGATAACCTCCTTCAGATGATATTTGTATTCTTTTCTTCCAAAGAGTTATTCCACTAGCAGGTAAATAGTATATTCCTTTAACATTTACTTCACCATCATATTGGTTACAATAGGAAATTTCCTTCAAACTGTCCCATATATATTATGCAAAACTGCATAGTCTTAACATAATCGCCAAAATAAAACAGGTCCTTGTGAAGGGTACTGAAGAAACAGGACTCTACCTCTGGTTATTAAATGGGTATGATATGAATTGCCACTCCCTTCTCTTTCCATGCATCTACTATTTCTACAGTTTCCACTAGCCCAGTCCTGAAGCAGAGATGCTACTTGTCTAAATAATCTGCATAGAGGTAGCTGTCTTCAGGGAGTGGACTGCTAACAAGAAAGGCTCTTACTTCACCAGGGAGCCTCAGCTGGAGGGCTTGCCGTTTCAGTAGGAACAGCAAAGATTTGTCTGGCCTAATTTGAACAGAAGACAGCCCTATAAATGAGCACTTGGCCATTCAGACCTTGCCTCCATGCTTTTTTAAAAAACTGTATTTCAGAGTTTCATTGTATGTTTACTCAGAAAATATGTTCACATCCCTATAGACAACTAACAGGGAAAAAAAACCCACACCACCAAAAAAACAACAAAACCAAAGCAACCACAAATGTTCTTGCTTTCTCATCCACTGCCTCCTCCCTCCTGCTGGCCATTGCCCACTGAGTCTACATTTATTCTGTTCCACAGTCCAGCGTAAGTAGGTTTCTTTTAAACACCTCATGTGCACACAAAATATCACAGTGTGAGCTGGCTGTTAACAGAAGGTTGGCTGAACATGACAGGGTACAAGACTGCTGCAAAGATGCCAAAATCACATCGTTGCAAATGATACTGCCTGAATAGCCTCAATTTGCTAGACAGCTTTGGATGCATGTCAAAAATTATTCCATTTGCACAGTAACAGGTGTGTATTTTTCCTTTAATAGTTACTTAATCACAAGATCAATTACAACGAAACTCCTTCAGAAAAAACTCCTTTTCCTACCCTATATTATATGCAAAAGCTGCTTAAGTCGGTGTGTTTGGATAGCAGTGGAAACCATCTCTCCCAGACTACAAGACGTAAATAAAGCAATGCAATAGCCTGGGTGACACTCTGTTTTTCAGAAGACTCATGCAGAGTCTTTTAGCCTGACTTGACAACTCATACTTTCGGCTTTACCTTGTCACTCTCCTTGAAAGGAAGTCCAAAAGAACAATGTTTTGGACTCACACTGCATGTTGATAAGGTTTCCAGCATATGTCAAAATAAAATTCTCAAGTCACAACAGCTGTAAAGCTGCCTGAAACTTCAGGTTTTGTAATAGTTTTTTTGAACTATGGGTTTCATGCCTATAGCTCTGCTGACATTATAGATGCTCTGTACTGATCTGCTGCTCTTACAGCATCTACTGACCCAGATGTATGTAAAAGCAGCTCTGCACAGTGAGTGACCATTAATCAAAATCAGGGCAGGTTTTTCTCCTTGTTGACACATGCTGTGCATGCTGCCATGGAAGGAACAAACAAGTAAACCCAAGGAAAGGTTTCAGAAGAGCTAAGGAGTTTTTAGGGCCATGTGTGAAAAACGTCTTTCCTAGCACAGCCTGTGCAGTGTGTCCTGACATGCTCAGGTCTTCAGAACTGTTTCCTTCCATCCTCACACAAAGATGAAGAACAGGTTGGGAAGCCTTACTTGTGCTCTACTTCATTTTACATGGAGGTTTCCTCCACCTAAAGAAGATAAACTGCCCCTTGTCAAATATTCCACAGCATAATCTTAAGCACCCCAGTGGCCCTTCCCTCCATCCATTCATTAACCATCCAGTCACACCACCTTCCTCCCACTTCCAACTTTTTAAAGGGCTTGTGTGAAAACAGCAGTTTCATTCAGGCAGGCAAAAGCTGCTGCTTTCAGCCATTTGTCACAAGAAGATAACATTTAGCAATGTTGACGTGGATGGGAGGGGTTGAGCTTTGCTGCTGCTCTGACAGGCAGCAGTGGTGGCTAGGAAGCATACAGAACTCTCTTTATTTTCTTTCATCTCCTGTTTTAACCTACAATTATTATCAAAAACTAGGAGCACAGACTAATAACCTGGTACTGGATGCTGACGAAGTAGTGTAAGGCCAAAGCTACACCCTAAGCATGTAACTACAGAGAAACTGAAAAAAGATA